CAAAGTAGCGCTGCAGGTACTGAATTGAGTCCTCCACCTCCGCGGAGCGGCCATGCGGTGTGCGCTGCCTCCAGCTCATCTTTTGCGCGTGAGTACCACCCTACACAACTTCGCCTGCCAATTCCCCCTCACAGTAGAAACCAAAAGGGAAAGAAGTGAATGCGTGGGAAAAGGGAAGAAAGGAAGGATTTCTCCTTTGAAAGAAGCAAACAAACAAACGACTGCACAAAGCCAAAACACACACACACACACACACATGCCAAGAAGGAAATTTTAATGAAAATGGAGAGTGGCAGACCAAAAAAAAAATGGGCCTGTCCGCGTGTCGGTTTGGTTTGCTGAGCCACCCGCTCTCCCTCTCGCCTGTTCCTCGACGCCTCTGAATGTTTGTTATTATTCCTTTTTTTTTTTTTTTTCTTTTGGATGTTGTTGTTTTTTTTTTTTTTTTTTTTTCGTTTCCTTTTCGCTTTCATTCCTTTTCTTTTTTGTTATCTCCTCCTCCTCTCTCTATCTCTCTCTCTCTCTCCCGCTGGTGCCCCGACAAATCGACTGGCTGGGACTAAAGGCTGGAGGCACCCGCACACCGGGCAGTGGCAGGGCCGTACGATGTGGCTGAAAAAAAGACAGGGGAGCACAAGCGGCAAAAAAAAATGTGTCTCCTGTCGAAATCGAAGGGGTTCGTGCATGCGCGGCAAAAAAAAAGGGAAATCAAAAAGAAAAAAGAAAAAAAAAGGCTGGGGCACAATTCAAGGAAACAAAAAAAAATAATAATAATAATAATAACACAAGGGAGAGAGAAAAAGAAAGAAAGAGAGACAAAAGAAGGGTCATGTATCAGATGCTGCGGGGAAAAGACGGCAGGGGGACGCCCTGAAGCCCCTCTCGCCCCGGCAGCACTGAGATGGACCAATTCCTGTCATCGTGCATGCACATGTGATGGCTGCTCCCCACTCCTTTCTACCGCACAAAAAATCGCCCTAATTTGTTGTGGTCTTCTCGACTGTTTTTCATAACGGCCCCTGGCGTATCCGCACAGACAGACACACGGAATGAGAAAGAAAAAAAGAGATACATGCAAACGGAAGAAAAAGGGAGAGAGAGAGAGAGAGAGGAACAGGGAGATCCATCCACTTCCGGTAGTTCAGAGTGCGAGAAAGAGAATCATAGAAAAAAGAAGAAAATATCACTTCAAATCCCAAAGGAAAGAAAAAAGAAAAAAAAAATTGAGAAGAAAACAGGAAAGGGAGTAAAGTGGACCAATCATCCCACCACCACCACCACCAGGAGCGGCAGCAGCAGCAACAAAAAAATACACAGGCACGGAGGGAGAGGAAAAAAAGACACGGAGAAGTACGAGTAACAAACAAAAAAAAAAAAAAAAAAGAAGAGCATACAGACGCCCTCGTGCACACAAAATGCACCACACAAAAATCATAACAGAAAAAAAAAAGGGGGGGGAGAAGCGTCAAACGCCTTCGCCGCCCCTCAAAACGCTCATGACTCGTCAGCAAAAGGAAATTACCGGCAAGCCGTCATAAAAATCCCAATCTCAATTGTCCTCGCTCTCCCTCTCTATATATATCCCCCTATCTGCCTCTCTCTATCCCTCATATACAATCACACGCATTCACGCACCTCCCTTCAGTTCTGCCACACCAACAATCCTCATGCACTCCGTCTCCTCTTTCTCTTTGGTTCCTCTTTTTTTTTTTTTTTTTTTTTCTTTTGTTCCTTTGTATTTTCCCCTCGTACCTCTGTTGCCTCTTGCTAATGTCGTTCCCCTTCGTGTTTACAAGTTCACCTATCCGGCTTGCAAAGTATGTGATAAAGTAACATCCACAACATATCCACTAAGAAAGTCATTTCTCTTGCCTAAAATAGAGAAAATGACACAGACAGAATAATAATAATAATAATAAAGAAAAAAAAAATCACCACTCTGCCCCTAACCCTCGCCCAATCCTCTCCCAAATCCTTTAGTGCACCCTCCCCGCTGTACGATGCACCGTCCCTCAATTGGCAATGCTTCCTAGCGTGAACAATGTGGTGGTGGCCACCATTCGTACCAGGGAAAAAAAAGCCCCGCGGTACAAACCCACCGGTCCCTCTGTCCGCATGATGTGGCGCACACAATGCATACTCGAAGAATAACGGAGATCGTCTTCCGTTGCCGCTATCATCATGCGCCGCCTCACGGTGTCGATGGGGTGAAGACAAAGTGTTGAGAGCGCCGATGCCGTGAGTCCTGTCCCTATTTGCGCTGCTATTGCGCCGTAGCCACTGTCAGACGTCTCGGGAAGGACAAATGGCTCCACAATGTTTAGAATACCACTGTGTACCGTCTGGTACAGCAGACTGCCAAACACATAAAGTCCTAAACCCTTGTAGAGAAGATGTGGAGATTCACTCAGTACAGGGTGAGAAAAAAACGCCAAACTGTGGCGGTACTCGTACGACGCACCGCGGAAAGGTTTAATATCGACTGCAAGACGAAATCGCGCAAAGTCAAGCGGGTAAGAAACCATTGAGGCCGCAAGCGCACCACAGATGTGTGCGGCGTAGAACGAAAAGGTGTAAGTCAACGCCGAATGATGCGCAAAGGCGTTAAACACAAAAGTCTGCGTTGGAAGCGCAATAAAAATCTGTGCAATTGTAATTGGTAGCAGGGAAACCACCTGAATCAGATTCCCCCGCCAAAAACTACGCAAGCCCTCAACAGCTGCTAGGTGACGCATACAATGCCACGCCCCGCTAAAAGATCCATCTAATGTTCCTAAACGCCGTAATTCCCCTTGGCACTGCAGGATGAACTTCACACGGTCGAGTGGAGCAATAAGTGTGCGGCCGATGGTTTTGCTCAGCCAGAGCAATTGTATATTCTCCACTGAAACGTAATAATCCTCAGGCATCAACACGTCTCCTACAGGAGGGGTGGAGTTGTCATCGCCTTCCATGTGCTCACCTCGTGACAGAGACGGTTGATCTTTATTCCCCATGCGTGATTATGCCCAACGACGAAAACAATAAACAGAAGAGAGATAAAAACGAACAAACCAACAAATGAAGGGTGGCGCGTCCTCGCTGTTCTCTTCACACCCCTCCCGAACCGGTTGTTTGTTTGTTTGTTCTCCGTCCTTCTTCCTTTTCTTCTTCCACTCCACCCTTTCTTTTCCCTTTGCTCTCTTTCGCCTTGTTCCCCCTTCCGTCGGCTCTCCCCCCCCCTCCACCCCCCTCCCTCAATTTTTACTTTCCCTCACACCCTCGCCTCACCCGCGAGTCAGACACGCACAGTCACACCGGAGCGGTGCGCCCCCACCACCTCCTCCTCCTCCCGCGCGTTCTTATGCTCCCTCGCCCCTCGCCTTCTCGTCTCTCCGGCCACGCAGAGAGAAGAAACTGCAGGAAGAGGAAACGGCTAAGCAACAGAACATTCAGCACAATAATAATAATAACAAAAAAAAAAAAAAAAGAAAAAAGAAAAAAATAAAGAAAAGGCGGGAAAGGGTCAATGGGAAATGTAAATAACAGGTACATCGCTCCGCACAACAAATGAACGATATTTATACTCTCAAATAATTATCGTACAAGAAAGAAAAAAAAAAAAAAAGCAAAAGAAGCAAATAAAACACAAACAACCAAGGCAGTCCACCAAACTTTTTCTCCCTTTCCATTTGATCCTAACAGACACGTGATTGTTTTTGTTTCAGGAACAGAAATGGGAAGGAGCAAAACGAAAAATAAAAACAACACGCCAGTACTTCATACAACGTCACTCACTTGTGACGTTTCTTGTATAACATCACAAAAACCAGCACTGCCAGCGCCACGACACATATGCCAAAAAGCGAAACAAAACACCGATCACCAGCCAACTGTCGATAGAACCACTTCACTTCACGTGACACTCGATCAAGCCCCCCCTGCAGGTTCTGAAGCTCTTCGTCTATTTGATAAATCTCCGTTGCCTGTCGGTGCAGCGTTTGGTGTGTTTCACGGCCTGATTCCTCCGTCATGTGCTGCAGTCGCTCCGCCCGCCCTAGTGAAAGTAACGCGTCATTCTGCACATTTACAGCTGCCTGAAGCACTTGTTCAGAGTCCTTAAAGCCCTTCCCATCTGACCCGCCAACTCCCAACAACTCTTCCTCTTTCCGCTCCGTGTATGTCTTGGCCCGTGGCGCGGGGCGCTGTGGGTAAATCTGTCGTTTCATCTCGGCATCTAAAGAACGAACCAACTCATCCGCATCGCGGCATACATTTTCGTACTGGGCCCGCGTCACCTGGTCCTGCGTTCGACGCACCTCAGCACGCAGAATACTTATTTTGCCACGGGCCTCTCGCATGATTGGACGCGCCGCCATTTCTGCGGCCTTCTTCTCTGACAGTGCGTCAGCAATGACGACGGCTTCCGTCGCCCTAGAAAGCCGTTTTAACGTCTCTTGGACGTCCTCCGCTAATGTATCGAGAGCACTAGCCATAGCAGCTTCTCCGTACTACGCGCTAAAGAAAATATATCTTTCTACGACAATTATATCGGCGAAAACAAAGGGTCACGCTTCTTACCAACGCGTGTAGGATGCAGTTCGGCAACCTTCAGTTTTGTACCGGTGGCCTCCCTTCTCGCTTCCTGCCCCTATCGCAATGTGAAAAAACGCAACGTTGAACTCACCCCTCACCCCTTCCCCTTGCTTTTTTTTTGTTGTTGTTTCCCTTGTGCTTTGCGTCCTCTCTCTCTCTCTCTCACAAGAGACAACTTATCATGCCGCTGCACACCCGAAGCAAAAAGAAGGAAATAAAAAAAGAAAAAAAAACACCGCGCAATAATATACACTGCAATGCAAAAGAAAAAGAAATCACTTTTCCCCCCAGCATGGGCATAAAAAAGGAAGAAAAGAGTAACGAATCCCCAAACACATGCCAGAGATAAAAATAAAAACAGGAAGAAAAATCAGAAAATAAGGCGCAGTTAAAAAAGGAAATACCCAGAAGTAATCATTCTCTCCTCACATTACGGCGGCAGCATCCTTGCCGGCGTTGCGGGCACGCTTCTTGCGCAGCTCGGCTCGAGAACGCAGTGAGAGCTGCAGGCCTCCCCATTGGCGACGGATAACATCGCTACGGGCCAGGAAGCGTGCATTCACAGAGCGGATGAGATTCTTCAAAGCGGCCTCGTCCTCGGCATTCACATCGGTGATTGCAACGCACGTGGCGGTCTTCCGGCCCACCGCGTCGCCGAGACGTGCCTTGTCCTTCACAATCGCGTATGGGACTTTGTTGGCACGACACAAAGTCGGCATCCACAGCACCAGCTCAATGGGGTCCACATTGTTCGCGATCATCACAAGGCGTGCGGTCTTCTTCTCAATGGTGCGGGTCACCTCCTGCAGACCGGTAACGACGCTGAGCGGGGCCTTCTTGGACGCCGCCTCTGGATTCTTCTTTTTCTCAGTCGCCACGTCAAACAGGCGCTGCCTGCGGGCCCTGCGCGTCTCGGAAGGATACTTCTTCACCAGCTTCAGCAGCTCGTTGCGACTGGAGCGGTCAAGCACCTTCGTAAATTGGTGGAGCGCGGGCGGCACCTTCAGACGGCGCTGCAGTACACGCTTCTTCCGCTGCATCGTCACAAACGTGGGCCACCGCATAAAGCGAGAAAGATCACGGGCGTACGGAACATCGTGGCCAATACCAAAGTTTTTCGGCCGCGCCACAAAAGGTGAGATGGCCGCAGGCTTCTTGTAGGGCGCGGCTGCCTTGGCAGCAGGCTTGACAGTGGGCTTCACAGCGGGCTTCTTAGCGGGCTTGGCAGCAGTCTTCGCAGCTGGCTTGGCAGCTGGCTTGGCAGCTGGCTTGGCAGCTGGCTTGGCAGCAGGCTTTGCAGCAGACTTGGCAGCAGGCTTTGCAGCAGTCTTGGCAGCAGTCTTGGCAGCGGGCTTGGCGGCCTTTTTCACTTCCTTGCCGGGCATTTTTTTATGCGCTGAAAACGGTATGTTAGTAGAACAAAGAAAAGAAAAGTAATAATAATAATAATAACAATAAATATTATCATTATTACAAAAAAAAAAAAGCGGGGGGTGGAGTGGGGAAAGTCATAATAAATGACAGTTCGTTGGGGAAAACACAAACAACCCGGCGGCACAAAAGAATGAGACGAGATATTCGTACAAAACAGCGGCGGGGATACAACTCACGCTGCACGGTCAGACAGCATGACCGCTTTCACCAAAACCACCACCGCCACCACCAGAAGGAAACAAACTTCGGTTTCTCTTGACAATCAGAGCTCATCTGCCACTTTGGCTGCAAGTGACGCCTCGCTTCCTCTTCCTTATTGTCGCACTCATCCAACCTCCCTCATCCACCGCTAAACTCGTTCTTTTTTTTTTTTTTTGCTCGTTTTGCCCCATCCTTTTGTTTATTTGTTCATACTGCAGGTGACCTTTGGATACTTTGAGGGTTGGGCTGTACAAATTGCCTCCCCACTAGCCCACCCGCACTCGTTATCTCTTTTTTTTTTCTTTTTTGTTTTTGTTTTTGTTTTTTTTTTGTTGTTGTTTTTGTTGTTGTTTCGTTTTTGCTTCGCTTTCTCCTCCCCGTACTGCTGCTTCACTACATAATTGTACAGTTGTTAGGCTTTTTGGCGGGATTTTTCAAACGAACTTTGTATTCTTTGGCAAACGTCCAAAAAGAGGGCCTCAAAAACGTGGCAACACAGCCACCACAGCGCCACAAGACAGCGGTGGTAAAAACGCACGGTGGAGAGAGAGGAAAGGAGTCAGCTGACACTGACACGTTTTATGTGTGAGCCGCTGTGAACCACATTTGCTGGAAACACGCGCAGGCTCCGACTCTCTGCACGAGAGGATCCGATAGGACCGCTGCCTGCGGCAGGCGACACAGCAAGCTGCTTCTCTACATCCCTTTCAATCTTGCGCTCTTCGCGCTCAACAAAATAGCGAAAAAGTCTCCTAAATGTTGATTGCTCGTCCTTTCCGTCCACCACCTCCTCGTCGTCACTAAAACTTAACGTCGCCCCGCCGCTACCAACACTGTCGCTACAGTTATTACCAGCGGTGGTGGCCTTCTTCTGGCGTTGTCTTCGCAGGGCAAAGGATGTATTGCTGCCGGGGAAGCGGCCGCTCTTATCATCGCTGCCCAAGAAGTTAAACTTTGCCTCCATAAAGACATTGTTGCGCCGCTTCAGTTCTGCGCGTATATACCGCTCCTCCTCCCGCTTGCCGGGGTGGAAAAAGAAGAGTTCTTGTGTGTTGACATTCATAAAGCGCACGAGACCAGCGGAGGTGCGGTACAGCACCCAACCCTCGGGAATAGGGTCTACGAGCAGCATCTCTTCCACCAGCAGCAGGAGGTCGTCGTCGCGCGGAGAGCGAATGCCAAGGCTACAACGAAACTCCTCTATGTCTGAAAGTGTGAGGGCGGTATTGTCACCCTCCTCGCCATCGTCATCATCATTGTCGTCCCCAACAAGCGTGAAAAACTCCCCTTGAGGCTGGGCGTAGTCATGCAGATACCCTATGGCCATATATTTCCGCTCCACCCGCCGCCGTGCGGCACGGCGCCATCTGGCAATAAAAAGTCGTACGCGAAGTGTCACAATGTACGCCGTGATGCAGGCACCGGCACCCACCCACGGCAACCACCGCGGCAGCGCCTGCAACACCGCCTGAGCGGCTTCACCCGCCGTCTCCGCCTCGTATAAATCCGTTTTAATTTTATGCAGTGTCGACCGCACTGACGCCATCCTGTGAAGGATGCAGCGGCGTACGACCGAAAAAGAATGTAGGAATCACCAGAAGAAATGCCGGGAGAACCAAAATCAAAACAAGAACAACAAGAACAACAAAAAGCAAAAAAAAAAAATAATGACTGTGTAAAAAAAAAAAGAGTTTTGACCTCCTAAAAGAAAAAAGACAACTTAAAAAGGGAAAAAGGACCAACAGTAAATAAATAAATATTCCTTCCTTCCACTAATATCAATGACACTTCTTGCTGGCAAGAAGAAAAAAAGGTAGCAATAAATTTTATCAAACAAAGAAAGAATAAAACCAAACACACACACACACACACACACACACACACACAAAGAAACACATGGAGAGAATGTCTTTTCTCCCCCCACTTTCTCTTCTTGTCTGCTCGCCGCAATCAGCAGCCGTAATCGTAACAACAATGGGAAAAAAAAGAAAGAAAACAATACGTAGCCAGCTCTGTACATTCAAATCATTACATTCTCAGGAAAATAACCGCTATTTATTTATACATATGTAGTTGTGCAACGTACAGTGCACACGTCCGTGTGTTGAAAACTACGAAATCGTCACAAAGAAACTCAGACTGTTGCTGAGTGCAGAAGAAGGCACATCTACTATGGATCTTCGTGTCGACCGCATTAATGAGTCTTCTTCCCCTAACGTCGAGTAACGTCTGATCGAAGATGACTTTCTTCTCTTCAATAGGTTATCAGTTCCCCTCCATATGACATGCAGCGGCATGTCAAGGAGGAGGGGCCACTCAACCTCCCTCCCATTCCCTGTTACTGCAGCAGACGCGCATAATACAGGGAGAGGACACGTCGATCGTATCTCCAATGTTTTGAGGGGGGAACCCGTCGACGTCTCTGTCAAAAACACGACGCTGGCTCGGGCTCCACGAGGTAAGGAAACATCCACTCGTTTTTCGCCCGGAGACACCTCCCACAGCAAATCACCCGACTGTCCTCCCGTATTTGTATTGGAAACCTTTTGAAACCGCACAGCTAAGACAATGTCCTCCTCGTGGTCCTTTTCGTCAACGTCCTTCTTCCACGCAAGATGGGCAGCATCCCAATCCGTGCGATGCAGCACTTCTTGCTCCAGCGTCTCGGAAGGCGCCGCTCCAAAAAGAATAATATCGTCATGCAAGAGACTGTACCGTCTTGACATGACCAACACCATTTCAACACGATTTAATTCATCTAGCTTTCGACTCACCGCCCGCGCCGCAAAGGCATAAAGTAGTAGCCGTGGATGCTGCAGAGCGGGCAACCACACGGTCAGTGTCTCTCCAGGCACCCAACGAGTTAGCTGCCCCATGGCCGCCCGCACACGATAAACGACTGCATTTTGCCCCTTCTCTTGCAACACCGACAGAAGACCCTCCATGTGATCCTTTTCCCAGAGAAAAAGCAACTGAATGAGATCCCTCGACGGGGCTTGATTCAAATCCACTGCATATGCCGTCGGGTCAGATGTGCGCGGATCCAGACCCACGCTATGCTTCAACCTCGTCCACGTGGGTGATTCACAGGTGCCGTAAATAATTTTCTGGAGAGAAGCATCCAGTAGATCGCGGTACGCCACAGCGGATGACTCATCCTCACAAAGGCCAAGAAAGTCTTCATTTGAATTTCGAAGCTCTGCCAAAAACCCCGTCTCTGAAAGCCCAGCCTTTGAGGCTTCTTCAATTGCAATACTCACGCTGAAATTCCTTGCATCTTCCCTGATGCCTCCCTCCGATGTATTCAAGGATGCTCTTTGACTTAGCACCTCACTCACGGCCAATCGGAACCTGCGAGTAGTCATGCGAGCTGCATAGATCCCAAATGCAAATTTGGCAAACGCGTTCTCAAGTAAAGCCTGTTGGGCTTTAGAAGTATCGGGGGAAACAGTATCAGAAAGAGGGGCTCTACTATCTGGCCGGCCTGACAAGCGGAGCGATCGTCCCTTCCTTGATTCAGTCTCCGTGTTGTTCTCTTTTCGCAACCACAAGGCCAAAAGCCGAAGGATGATAGTGAGATCATCCCGGTCAACGGTTGCTTGCCAAAGTGAGGGGAAGGCAACACCAGACCTCTCCTTCGCCCACAGGTCGCGTAGCATAACCTGTCCAGTAACAAGGCCTGTATGTAGTTCAATTGCATTTGCAAGTTTAAAGGTTGACGGCGTGCGATTACCGCTTCGCCGAGAAACACCCTTCTTGTTTTCGCCAAGGCGCAATGAAGCTGGCCCTTCAAGCATGAGCGTCGTCCCTTCCCTCTCCCACGGCGGAAAAATACTTTGGTCCTGCAGGATGGAAAATAAATAAAATCGCGAAAATGACGTGTCGTGTGTCAGAGTGAGGCACCACTCCTCCAGCATATGGATACACGCATTATTTTTCTTCGTTGTGTTGGGTGAGTCAGTTTCTCTGCCTGGAACTCCACACACGACGCAACACAAGAGCACCGGGAAACGCGTTCTACCTCCATTCCTCACCGGCTCCCACACACCATATCGACAGTAGCGTGAGAGATGTGTCGACAAGGACTGGACAAACACCGCCTCATCGGAAGCATCCTCCGGGGGGGTCAACATGGCCAAGATGCAATGACCACGTCCCTGTTGCTCTGGGCGGTCGGAAAAACACACCGAAACCGTCTTCATCAGCTGATCCACCTCTTCCGTAGTAGAAACATGACAAAAGTGATAGGATAAACGCTTTGACTTGAAATATCGCTCGTAATGTTTTACGGTCTGGTTTGCGTTCATCGATACCACGCAGAGTGGAATGCAGGCACTTAAACTCAACCGCAGCCATTCCTCAAGGCAATAAACGTCTGAGGGGGGTTTTTCCATGTAGTCATACAACGGGTTCATCTCACTCAATCCCTCATTATTCGGCTCCTTTATGGAGAATAGAAATGCATTGTAGAGGTGCGATGCTAACGTATCACACGTCGCGTAGTCCAACCTCAACCAGTAATGGAAGAAGCAACGAATAGCATCCTCTCTCCCAGAAATAATGCCCTCTTCCCCCCATCTGTTAAAATCAAGCGTGCTGTTGCTTGACACTGGGAATTGATGCACGACATTTTTGAGGATCGAATCGGAAGATGCCGCGTATACTTCACGCACATATTCTTCAACAATGACATTACTTCCTCGATTCACTAGGCGATCCAGTGCTTTATATTGTTCATTATTAAACACAACTGTCAATGGGGAATATACCTCCCCACGTAGCTGCAGGAGGAGATCGCAGCCAATAATTGCACTGGAGAGAATATACCATGCAAAAATCCCACGGAATTCACACGGCCAGCCGCATCCCAGCACTTGTATAACTCTCTCAACAAAATTTATCGTGGCATAGAATTCCTTGTGTGCTTCTGGAAGAGCATCAAAAGTGTGTGGTGATATCCGTGATTGATAGGGTCGCAATAACTCTTTTGCACCTATGATAAATGGCTCCAGCTTACGTGGTTCCCAGTGCCTACCAAGAATACTCTCCTCAATCACTCTTATTGCACTCTCCACAGAATAGATACCCTGCTTAAGATATTTCCATGTGTCCTTTAATTGCCTCATGACATTCTCTTGATTCGATTTAAGACGCAACACGCGCCCATGGCAATTGCTGAGATCTTTAATGAGTACGTCAAGACGTGCAAGTTTACTGTTATCGGGCCCCGTTAATGTATCAAGATCCTCGCACAGCAGTGCACTCGCTTCATGTAGAGCCTCATTGAAGGTCTCAATGGGATTTCCGTCCTCGACTGACAAATCCCCAAAGTACTTTTTCCCCACATCTTCTCTGGTTATAGGACTCTGTAGCAGAGTTGTCTGTACACAATGTTTCACATCTAATTTGAGGTGAAAATTCGTGACATTCATGAAACGCGAGGTTATACCGCCCCATTTTTCAAATGGAACAATGGATGAAGAAACGCACACCACGTAAAAGGTTGACTTTACATCCACAGTTTCTCCATACAGAGCGACCCTTGTCGATTTCTGGTGCATTATTGCCTCCCGTAGGGTTGGCTGAAGCAACAACAAGGGACGCAGTTCATGCAACACAAATGCGACAGAGGCATCGCAGATCAACAATCCATCCCCTGTCCTTGCCGCATCGAGTAAACTCTCTTTAAAACCTTTGCTCAACGCAGATGCCACAGTACATCCACCACACATGATGCTAAGGATTTGTTTCAACATACCCTCGAAAGCCGGACTCGCACCACCAAAAAATGGCCAGTGAAAGTACACCCGTTGTAGTAACGCACCCAAGCAGAGAAGTTCATAGGTGGAACAAGTGGAAAGCAAAGCACTGTTTGTAACGTTGTTTACGCTCGGAAACAGCGATGAGACAATGGGATCATCAAGTTCTTCCGGTGCCGCGATTCCCCAGCCATTCAGGCGTGACTGCAGCTGACGAAAGCGTAATACCTGTTGCTCCTTTGGGAGCATGGCAAAAAGTGCCCGGTGGGCAGCCACCATGATAACAGCCCCCTCGCCTTTTTTCTCTAATGCTTCTCTTGTGGCTGTGTCTTCCGAAGGATGAAAGGGAATAAATCTATCCACAATGTCAGAAAGCAACGCCAGAGCGCTTTGACGCCTACCACTATCATTTTTCACTGCATCCATTTCCTCAGAGCGTTTCAACAGTTGTTTCACCTCTGCACGGTCCTTTTCCAGCTTTTTCAAAACTTCACTTGCTCGCGAATCAAACGCATCCACCTTGCTTAAATAGTATGAATGTTCTAGACGTATCTTACTCAGTCTTTCATTTTTCCCTCTCACAATCTCTCCAAGACGCGCCGCCTCCATAAGAGTACCAACGTATTCTGCCATTGCACTTGCAAACGGGGAAAGTTCACTGTAACGTACTTCACGCAAAGATGTATGAAGTTCTGAAAGGGACTCATATTTGATTTTACAAGGAGACACCGCCAACAATCTTGAAATAAATTTTGGGGAAGTGATGATGGATTTACCGCTATCCCATACCTCTCTTAAACTCCCTCCAGGTAGTTCCTCGCCAATAATCTTGCAAACCGCCTTCATCAGCAACGCTCCTTTTGTGGAAGGGAGCAAATTACCAAATTGTTTAATCTGCGAGATTCTTGTAGCTGCTATACGAGATCCCAGGGTGGAGAGCATGATAGCCACTTTTCCAGTTTGTGTTTGAATGGTTTCTTCCTCGCTCATGATAAGCATTTCTGTTTTAACGGCTTCCTTACGGAAATTTGTTGAGGCACTTTCATGATGTTGCAGAAGCTTTTCCCTACGCTGCAAACGAGCCAGGAGCGTTTTCATTTGTTGCTGAATCGCTATTTTTGCCGAATCTGTTTTATTATCAATATCTTCCTTGTATACCTTCATCTTGGCACTGATGGCAGCCGGTAATTGGGTGATATGCCGTGACTGAGCAGAATCACATCGAAGTCTCTCAAGGAATTGGCAAAGTCGCTTTGTCTCAAAACAAAACTCTAGTAGTTGTTCTAATTCAAGGTTAAGCTCTGTCTTCATGACATTGAAAACGTCACATAAAAGATGTGTAAGGCGATGCCCAGCTAAATTCAAAGAGCCCGGTGACATCGGTAGGGCGCTGGGACCAAGCTTACCACCCCTTAGTACAGCTTCATACATCGGTTGGCAATTCTTTTCTTCAGCTTCTATAAGTCCATTCACCAGTTCCGACAACATCTCCGGTGCGCGCAATGACAACGGTATCACATAAGAAATTAAGCGAATTGTACTTCTTAAATGATTCAGTTCCTTATAACTCAATACGTGTGTCACCATACTCAAACGGTTGCAGATACGCTGTTTTAGCTCGCCATACTCGGCCATGGTTAAGCCACTAAAATTCCGACGCATGCCTCGCCTTCCGTACAGAAGAAATAATAAATCTTCGCACGTAAAGAGTTGCGTTACATCACCACCACGCAGAATCGCATCCAGCGTGCCCATTGGCCATGCAAGCCCCAAGACACTGTTAGGCACAAACACAACTAATCTGCCATCATTTCTGCACGTTTGTTGTATAATATGAATAAGATCATTTTTAAACTGCTCATTCGCATCAGGTCCAACGTAATTTTCACGAAGGAAGGCCACATGAATACGCAACGAAAACCCCCATACACGTAGGGCTCGACGGATACCGTTATCATATCGTCCAATAAGCGCCACGTGAGTCTGTGGTTGCCGAAGGTATTGATGAAGAGCTGAGATCAGTATTGACAGCCAATGCGAGACGTAATTTATCTGTGAGAGACGTGGGGCCATCGTACCGGCGGGTAAACCTGCAGGCGGTCTATGTTGTGATGGAGGAATTGGAGAAAAAATAATACTGCTACGGGAGTCAATATTAAGCGGCTCCTCAATCACGTTAGACAGCAATGCCGTTTCATACGCCCGCATCCAAACTTGAACCTTCCCGCTGGTGCAGGGTGGAAGATCCGTACCGTCATTTTCCTCCATTTCAATATCGTCTTGAACGGTATCGAAGCGGACGGGACCTGGTGTAAAACAATTTCTCAAGCACATGTTAGCTGAGAGCTCTAGTTCTTCTTTAAACTGCTTTTTTTCCTCCTCGTATTCAATCATATTTGCATAAAAGGCATATACAAAGTTAAAAATAACCGTTGCCGCCCCAGCATCATCCCATGAGTTCGAAAGAAATCGCAAGGCTTTATCGGATACCTTTAAAAAGTGGTGCATAAACGAGATACAAACACCATGTGTCATTTGAAACCCGGAAATGCTACAACACTCATATTCTTGAAGCACACTCTCATTGTCGTTATTTCCTAATAAGGTGGCAGTCGTGTCCTCGCTTGCCCGTTCCCCACGCAGCTTGATGGGCATCAGCCTTAGTGCAATGGAATGTGCAGCAACAAGAAATGTGACTATATCCTTCGAAACATTTAACCCACGCCGTTTCACACATACAACATCAAAAAGTTTTTGCAGAGATCCTATAATCTCAGAATCTTCAAGCTCTGGTAGTCGCACTCGCACAACAGCATTTTCCACTTCCACTTCATACGATGGCCCTGGCGTCGACGCCCCAGCGCAAACAACATCGGCGATGGGAACATATCCAAGAGACGGTGACAATATAGCGGAAAAGCGATCAATAAAAGAAAAAAGATGCATCACCTGTGAAAACCGTCCTTCTCCAGGAAGGTTCACATCATCTACAGATAGCACTAGCTTCCGTCCAATAGATGGCCCATATATTTTGGACTGACGCAACGTCATGTTCCGCATTAATGCCTCATTTATCTCAACAGCTCGGCATGCGGTGCTGTTACACACCAGCTGATGCACCCACCCCTCGTTGCTTCGCATTTGACGCAATATGGTGGATTTACCCTGTCCATTCTCTCCAGTAATTAACACTGACTGACCGGCATCAATCAAATATTCCAAAGCGGTTAGGGTTGTCTCACGAGAAGGAAATGGGAAAAACTGCGACCATGTACGCTGATTAATATCCACGCCATCCCATTTCCGGCTCCACATGGATGCAAATCCTGCCTCAGATGTTGCTGTTTTCGCTTTGTCCATCTTCTTCCACCCAACGGGCGTCGCAATGTAATGCAAAATATCGTCCTCAGTTGACGGCAACACATCTTCCGTAAAACCAATTTCTTTAGCTATTCTATTTAGTTTCAACTGAGACTTTTCGAGAGCTACCCGTAACACATGACGCTCTTTTTCATGTAGATGCAATCCTAGAGACCAGGTGGTTGCAAACACGGCGCACTGCAAGGCAAATGCCTGATCACTAATCCACTCTTCACGACTCACACAACGTGATTTGGCATAAACGTACCATCTTTTATACAGCTGAGAACATCTAGAAGCGACAGCGAACAAATTTACATACGATGCAGACGTCCGATTGGGCACGTGACGCGTGTCAAGGATGTGGTCAATCAGGGTTACCATAACAGGGTAAGCAACACCCGTATAATAACTCGGTACAGTGCTAAGAAGTTCTTTAAGGAACTTCTTCCAACGAGTGGGTTCCGGTAAAGCAAAAATTGCAAATTCAACCATCACACGTGGGTTGGCAGCGTTAAGCTCAGAAGCCACCGCAATGAGACGCACACTCTCCCCTTTAATAAAAGCTGCTCCCGAATGGGGGCGAATCCTCACAAAAGCTGGAGTGTCAAAAATAATGGATGTTTGCAAAAAATTCGCGTTCTCAATAACAACAACATGGTTTACCAACGGGTCCCACTGTTTGGCTAGGGAACTAAGCAATCCTGGTTGACACGCGTCACCATAGATTTCTGCACAACTCATCAAGCGGAAGGAAATCACGACGTGGTGTAATTCGCCTATCCAACCTTTCCAAAGCTTTGTCTTCCCAGAGTAGGCTGGTCCTAACAACACCACATTGGAATTAGAATTCATGAAGCGAGTGAACCGATCCAAGATAGCCTCATATTCTGAAGAAGCTTTCAATTGGCTCAATGCATCATCCCAGAAATCCTGTGAAACACCAAGTGTGTGTAGCATATTCCACTCCAAAAGATTTTGTAAACGTTCATTGGTACGAACTGCCTGCCAAAATTGATTCAAGAACGAGGTACAGAGATTTTCTGCAACTGGTACCTTGTTAAACTCAATAGTATCACGTATTACAGTAAGTAAATTTTTAACGGTAAAAATCACAGGTGATACCTCAATCAGTTGTGCGTACATCAAAGCCAGCCTTTGACCCACTGTCATCCACCCAGAAACCCCAAGCCTATAAAGTGCACCTTGGGCAACCACAGTGAGGTCTACGGGCATTATGTAAATAGGACGAAACGCAAAAGAAAGGCCCGTTGGAATTTTGTCAGTACTTGGTGCCGTGAAAACAATTTGAAAGCAAGGGTCCCTTTGCACGTACTGTGTTGTATCGTTTATTTCAACCCCAATTTTATCAAATCCGCCATCGCACAGCTGCTTTCCTGATTGACATGCAGTCTCAATGCTTCGAAAAAGATTGCTAAAGGGTAAAATAAGGGGTTTCTCAAGAATGTCTATATCTTTTAAGCAAAATACAGCCCCTATAGCCAACGCACCACGCAAATCTCGTACGATCCCTTCCAAAGTAAGCGCTGGGTGACACTGAAGACACCACCAAAAACGACCCAAGTATTCTGCACAATATTGTAGCGTAGAGGCCCTTTCTGGATTCCCAATAATAATCGGGAAAGATGATGCCGCAAAAGATAAAAAAATGGTGTACAATCCCCCTTCAATATATTCAGGAGTTAACACGGGAAGCGTGTAGTTTCCTAGAAATTCCATACCATATGGAAGACGAAGCCCTAATGTTTGTATAAAAATTTTATCATTCTCCATGAAAGTTCTTAACATGGCCGTTTTGTCAAGATCTTCTTTTGTCTGGATACCCGCTTTTAGAGCCATTTGAATTTCTCGTCTAAAACACAAAAGAAAGACAATGACACTAGAAACAATCCGTCGTTCCCCACTTTCCATATGTGCACCAGCAATTCTTATATACTCTTCTGTAAGATCCCTTAAACGCCTTGCATAAGCGTTAATACCCATACTACCTGCAAGCGATAAAGCCTCATGTAAATCTCGGTTATGAATAACCCGAAGAGCTACATCAATTATTTGTACACAAGAACCACGTAACCAAGTCATGGAATCAACATAATAGTGGCTTTCAACACAAGCACGTAATTCATGAAGCAAGGAAGAACGCAATGTCCTTTCAAAAGACTTCATCCATCTATCAACAGGAACTGCAGATAATTGAATTGGAACTTCTGCCTTAAGTGTTGCACCGTCTGCAGCAATGAATGTGGTAACCGAATTTCCCTCAACTCCAACGTCACACACACGACTATACATTTTCGAAAGTAATTGTTTCAATTTTGTGTTATTGACTACAGAAAGAAAAGAAATCAGCTCTCTGTCACTCAAAAAATAAAACCTTGGAAAGGCCTCTCTTTTTGCGTCTAATAAGCCCATTACCACTTTTCGAATATCACCTAGAATAGTAGATGCTAAAGTAAGTTGCTCCTGTATATTCTCCTGTATCATGGCGGTAAAAAGAGTATATTGAGTTTTTTGTAAACCCGCGTACAAAATGCTGAAAATACCATTTATTGATCCTACTTTCTCTCGCAAAAACTTCCATTCGCGTGATTCAACTGCAGGGATTTCCCCATCACTTATTGCCTCAAGAGTCATGCCAAAATACATAACTTCTATCCATTCGTATTCAATTTCATTCCAATTTGATAAAGTGCATCGCATTTTTTCAACAGCGGCCTCCCATTCATTAATGGAATTAATTACATAATGGCTCACTGAAACATGCTCGCGTAGCACTCTTAAGTCAAGCAAAAAAGTTTCTAATTGAGAAGATATAGAATCCCTACATAAAGGAGACAAAGCAAAAACTTCCTCAGTTCCCTCAATAATCTCAAATATAAAACGAGTCCTTTTTGCTTCACTTTTCATACGCTCCAAAGATGCTTCAGTTTCAAAATCGACAATAGCCGGATCCACCACCTGCTTCAGCTCATAAAAGTGATCCTGAATCCTAGATTCTAGTAGTTTCTGTAGTGTAACATTAGAGTCTATTTGTAAGTTGGTATTAGGATCCTTTCCAAGAATCCGCGATATTTCTTTCCAGTGATTTTTTCGAAGTCCTGGTGCTGTAACACACATAAGAATCCCTTCCAAACATTCAAAATCATTTAATACTTGTTCTTGTTGACGACCAAGCCTCACCAATCCCGGATATGCCCGAAGGTTACGTGTGGAAAAGTGAAGAAGACGTCGACAGCGTTGTACGTGATCGATCATTTGTGTGGCATTAAGTGTGCTAATGGGAATATTGTAATAGTCCCGAACTGTAGTTGAATCAAAAATAGCGCCCCAAAATTGTTCCAAAACTTCAAAGGTCCTTACTATAGGAAAAAAGTCCTCAAAAGAATCAACTTGATCAATTCCCAAAGATTGTTCACAATATGAGATGTATTCAATTCCCTTAGAAACTTTATCAACAATAGCACGGAGTTCCTCGCAAGTTTGAGCGGCTATATCACATACTTCAAGATTAAATAAACCCAGTAGCTCCTGTACACCATCACTTATAGTTGTCACCTGGACCCTTGTAGAAGTTCGAAATTCGCCCAATTTCTCTATGATAGATGGCTTACTTTTAGTACATATTTCTTTGGATCTTAAAACCAGTTGCATCATTTCGTTTGGGCACCGCATCAAATCCAATGCTGCAGCATAAAGTTGCGTATACACAGAGACCTGAAGAGTCTCTAAGCAATCAAACCATCCTATCACTCGATTACAGTCTTTCATTTTAACCTCATTTGACCGGGATTCAGCAACAATAATTTCACAAGAAATTTCTTCCAATTCCTCGACAGTCTTTGGCTCTTTATTTAAACACGCGTTGTAAAAACGGCATCTCTCTATCGTTGCTGTTATGTATGAGTGAATGTCACTTTGTATTGTAGTTAAATAGTTTTCCAAATACCTTGTCCAGTGTTCCACATACCATTTTTTCACCTCAGTACAATTAATAGCAATACATCCAGAAAACACAAAATCTGGAGAAGTATTTGTAATTTTCAAAATGCTTTCACGAAGCAAACGAACCCGATCTTCTATAACTGCCTCTTTGGCCCGAGTAAAGTAAGCCCCATTTGTTGGCGGTAGAGTTGAAAAACATGAATATTCTCTTATTAATTCATCGATTTTGGACCCTGCAACATCAAGATAATTAATTAATGCACCTTTTAAAGGTAATTCTTCCGCATCAAACGAGTTTAACGTGCGTCTTTCAAAGTCGAGTGTTCGCATAATGATGACCTCTGGAATTGGAAGATTATTAAAGCTATCAACGAGCTCATCCAAAAGATCAGCAAGACCAAAGCGTAACAAGGCAAAAGAAGGTGAACATGGCAAACCAGAGTCACCAACAGTAAGGTTTATCTCAAGAAGAGGAATTTTCCGAGCTTTTGAAGGCGATATGATGCCCTCTCCAACAGCAGCAAAAAAATGAACCAAATCCTTCAGTGCCTCAAAAATAAGAGTTCGGATTCGGTTCACAAGGAAAACACGCACTGCCAAGAATACGCGTCCCAAATCACTCTTTCTCAAGGTGTTTGAATCCAATGAAGCAAATTGTATCAATCCCAAATTTCCTGTAAATAAAAGCATTTCTAACTGAGTATAAAACTCAATTCTTATCCGAGTAAAAGCAGCTCGCATCGAACATCCAAGATTAGCTAAAAATGCATCAGCATTTGTTCTCCAATGATTCGTGTTAATATCAAATATAGCCAGTCTACCAAATCGATTTACCCATAACTCTTGAAGGCCTGAAAAAAACTGATGGGTTTTCCTGCTCCATGGTAACGATTCTCCCAAGTAGGAAATTGATGATTTGAAACGCAACGCTAGTTCAAAACGAAAATCATCAGTTTTCCCTTTCCCATTAGAAGTCAAACAGTCGTTGTCTGGCTCACTTAAGCATAGAGGGGATACAATTCGACGGAATAGCAAATTCCGATTCATGTATTGATACATAAAATGACCACAGGCTCTGAGGTAAAGCCTCTTGATCTCACAGACTATTTCTTCAACAAGACCACTGTATTCTTCAGATACACCTTGGGTTGATAAAACAACGATGCGTCGTAGGCTTTCTCTCTCATGAACTAATTGATTTTCTGCAATTCTCTCATAAAAATCAATAAAAAGCGAAGTGCGCAAATCCCGGTCAAATTTAGATGACATCGTCCCCTTTAGTTCGCAAGTCTCAGTGGGAACTCTCAGAACGTGTCGTTTTAAATCGGATACTTTTTTTTGAAAATAAACTCCCTTTCCATTGAAACGAAATGTCCCAACATAAGGTGAATAGTGGGCTCCCATTCTAGAACTGGGTGTTGAGGGACCACAATGCCATAAACAAATAGGAGCAAAAGACTGACTTTCTCGAAATTCGGGAAACTGAACTGACTCTGTTAGACCAGTATAGTCCGGTGGAAACCCTACCGAACAAAATTCAAAAGTCACGCCATGTTCCACATCCGAGACAATTTTGAGAAAGGGCCTAGGAATTCCATCCAAAAAATGTGCGATAACCCTTTCAAAACGAAGAGAAACGCTATTCTCATGCTGTAGGTCCATTATACTTTACTACCATCCCTATTATTATTATTTTTTTAAAAAATGATAAATACTAAGATAAAGGACAAAAGTAGTTCAGTTAGCAAACTTTTACTTAATTATTGTCATCCTATATCTCCTACCAAAAGGTTCATTAAAAAATCCCAAAGTTTTATAAAATAAATTATATTTCCCTAAGTTTTTTGAAATCAAACCGATATTCTGCGCCTTGTTTTAATTGATCTGTTACAAATTGTAACCATGCAAGCTGCGCAATACCCACTTCACAGTGGTGTGCATTGATGCGCTTCAGCTCATATTCATAATCCTCCATCATATTACAAATCCGATTTCTCATCAGCATACCGCGACACGTGAAGATCACACCATAAAGTGCAACACCCATGCTTATAGCCGGTGGCAAAGGTCTAGCGTAGTACATGCTATTTTTGAAGATGTGACGGGGTCCCCAAAATTTAAACATCAACATCACACTTGAAGCGGAAAAAGTCACGCAACCAATAAAATAATGCCAGGCATGTCTGTGATGTCGAGCCAACACCTCTATACGGTCGGAAACAAGCTGGCGTTGTACACGAGCAATCTCGTAAACGTAACGAGAGAACTCTTCCTTTTGATCTAAGGGCATCCCTACAGCAAAGCAACAAACATATCAAACAAATAAAATAACAAACACAACAAAAAAAGGCACCCGATCCAAAGACGCAGACGCAGAAAGAAATAAAAGGCAAGCACCGCCTCCGCGCAAACACCCTCCCGACCGCCAACCGGCCGCCACCCCAAGACGGGGACGCCAACGCCGCGAGGAAAAATGGAAAAAAGACGCCGGCCTCTCTCGCAAAGGCCGCGGTGGCGCGCGTGTCGGCGGCCGGATGCTGCTGGGGCCCTGTTCCCGCGCGTGGCGGCCGGTTGTTCTCTTTTTTTTTTTTGTTTTGTTTAGTTTTTGTTGGTGTTCTTGCAGTTTTTTTTTTTTTTTTTTTTTTTTTTTTCACCGTTGGTGGGAAGCGCTTTTGGAGAGTGGATCTCGAAAAGGAAAGCCTTGAAAACAAATATATTTTGACAGGGCAAAATGCCGGTTATCCACCCGCCTCCACCGCCACCCGCAAGGCGGCACCGCCGACCATTCATGACGTCATTCATTGCAGACGTGCTCCCTTTTTTGCCCGCGAGAGATGTACTTGTTTGTGCCGGTGTCTGCCGAGTTTGGAGGGAAGAAGCCAATTCGCTTTCACTTTGGAGAGAGTTTCTCACAAACGACCCAGCCACCGCGATGCATGCTTATCGCCGGCTGACGCTTCATGCAATTCAGAAAATCGTATTGCAGAGGGCTTCGATACCTGGGATTGGAAAAAAATATTTAGAGTTTGTCTCCACTGCCGATAGAGATGGAAGTTTAAACCGTTTGGAGCATACATCGGAAGCAGGACCGAGATTTATTTCAGAAAACGACTTCAGAAAAGATTGTGGCGTTCGGGGATTTTCTTTTGGATTGCCATTTTTACAAATAGAGCATAAAGAGATAGCTGAGACAAACCCTTGTAATGGAGCAATTGACTTGAGCTTTAGAAAAAGAGCTGGTTCAACGATGAAGGTGATGGAATCCCTTCAATTGCAAATGATGTTATTGAAGGAACATATTTCCAAGTCCACACATGTTCTAGATGCTCTCCGTCAGCAGTTGCCAACTAGGGATGCTGTTTTACTTCATGAAGAATGTTTTAGAAAATGGAAAAGGCTCAAAATATTTGAAGAATTGGTCGTAAATTCACTTTATTCAAGCATGGAAGGCTCACCTCCTGGTGGAAGGGTTCGAAACTTTGTACAGGCTGAAATGTTGGCCATTAGTAAGGTGGGCTCCCCATTTTATTTGAAGTGGTGCCGCTTTAAAAATGTCCTTCCATTAAATGATGTTTACTATAACTACGTGGACTTTTTGTATTCATATGGTCCTGGTAGGTTGTATAATTTAAATTTCTCACTTTTCGAGGAAACTGAGGGAAAAAAACTGATTCGTTATTTTTCGGCACTCCAAAATACTGTTAACGACATCATTAGGCAAAAGCATGATGAGTCGAAAAACATTTCTTGGGATTGTCTTCTTCAACGCTTGGAAGAAAAATGGGATGTGTATAACACTGATGCTGTGCGGGAATCCAATGGGAATTGAAGCGGTTGGGAACTCACTGTTGGTGTATGCGCCCATTGAATTTGTTTTTGCTTTTGGGATATTCCCGAAATTTTAATTTTTTCTGATCAATTTGCTGCCATGAGGTCTCATGTTTTATTCACGGACGCAGAAGGGAGTCTATCATTTGAAGATTTGATTTATGCGCTGTGAAGAATTTGAAGAATGCCCTTTACTAGCATAACAAAGAACTTTTTTAGGTGTAAGCTCGAAATGAATCTATCATTATAAAAGGAATTGAAGTATTGTAGATTTTGGAAAAACTGAAATGACAAATGAAATAGAGGCTCCGATTGCTTATAAACTAAACAATCAGGAGGGAAATAACGGGATTTACGTTTACTTGCTCCAGAAATGATGAAAATGCATCTCGTATATATGGTAAAGTACAGCCAATCAAGAAAAGGTGATGTTAAATATATGTATTACAAACAGAATTTGATTAGTAATTTAAGAACGAAGATGCCATCCCACCTACAGAATATGAAAGAGAGAAAAAAAAATTATTGTTGCTATTATTTCTTCTTGTTATTTGATGTCCATGGAACCGACACCGGCCACCATAGAACACTATTGCCATCCTAAGTGAAATTATTCAGAAAAATGACCGTATCGCCGAAAGAAGGCGTACAGACCACGATAACTTTTATTTACTGTGATTTCATTAGCGGGGAAAAAAAAGGTGAAGAGGCGGAATGCCGTCAATGGATTGGAGTGAACTTCCCGATCAACAGCAGTGAAACAAATGGACGGGCGCTCACGAAGGTAACCCCATTTATTGTGGGAAAAAGCCGAGATAATTTCGTAATATTGTATTCAATGTGTATTTCAGCAGTTACCATAACTCACTGATGCCGTATTTTATTGAGACTGCACCAGTTACTCAATCCATTCATTTCTTCTCTCAAGGTAAGCCAATTGACAAGCATACAAACAGCTAAAGTGCACTGTGAAAGACCCAAAAGAAAAAACACACACAAGGATGCGTCACACTCTGCTATTCCAGGTGCTGCTGCTCTGCTGCGTCTCTGGTTCTGTTGCCGTCGCTGAGCATCACTGCATCTCCGAAGAAATTGAAAACAAGGTTGGCCTCCGGACGACAGCAGTGGTGCTAGAGCTGCCAACTCGGGAAAGTGGCATGATGCGGGCGCTGACTGCCTCGGCTCCCGAATGGGCGCCCATCCGCTTTCAAGTCTTCACGGAGGATCTGAACGATCCCTCAAAACACTGCACCGCTGAGAAGCAGTTTCGTCCAGACTTTACTGGGGGAACTCTTGAGTGTAATAAAAGGGATATTTTGACGAAGGAAAAAAGATCCATCATATTAAACTCCCTTCTTCCCCGAGCGTTCGGAATGCACACGGATCGTCTACTTGTTAAGCCTCTCACGGGCAGGGTTATTGTACCAAGGTACTCGTCAGGTATATGCGCGCAGTTTAAAATACCCAGCTCCCACCACACAGAGGGTGTGAGCGGTGCGGACATGTACTTGTATGTCTCCGCTGGCCCGACACAGGGTTCCACACTTGCGTGGGCTACTGCATGCTCTCAATTAACCGATGGACGCCCTGTTGTCGGAGTGGTGAATTATGGCCCGAGCTCTGTCACTGATTCGGAGAACAGTGTTCGTGTTTCAGTGCATGAGGTTGCACATGCTATTGGGTTTGCTGTGTGGTTACTGAATGAACGCAATATGTTGAAAGAGGTTTTGGATGTACGCGGCAAAGCAAAGGTACTGCAGGTGTCGTCACCCAAGACGGTGGAGAAGACTCGCGAGCACTTCAACTGCGTGAATGCTACCGGCATGGAGCTGGAGGATGAGGGTGGGGAAGGAACAGCATTGTCGCATTGGGAGAGACGCAACGCAAAGGACGAGCTGATGGCTGGTATTTCCGGAATCGGTTACTACACGTCCCTGACAATGGCTGCTTTGGAGGACACCGGGTTTTACAAGGCCAATTGGGGAATGGAGGAACCGATGTCATGGGGCAACAACTCCGGCTGCGCGCTGCTGACAGAGAAATGCCTGATAAATGGCGTCACCCAGTATCCAGAGATGTTTTGCACCGCTGAAACGGGTCTTCTTTCATGCACATCGGATCGTCTGGCGCTGGGGTACTGTACAATCCATCTCTACAAAGCCGAACTTCCCCCACAATATCAGTACTTTTCGAATCTCAAACTTGGCGGTTCGGCCTCCTCCTTAATGGACTTATGCCCTTACGTTCAACCGTATTCCAACACTCGGTGCAGCAATGGGGAAGCAAGCGTCATGCATGGGAGCCGCGTTGGCCCGAGATCAAAGTGCTTAAAGGGGGATGGGCTTTTCGATTTCATGGGTCGTATTGGTGACGTGTGCGCTGAGGTGTCGTGTGAAAAGGGTGAGGTGAGCGTGCGGTACCTTGGAGATGATACATGGCGCCAGTGCCCAGAGGGCAGCAGTATTACACCAACTGGGTTGTTCACTGGAGGAAAGATTTTGTGTCCAAAGTACGACGATGTGTGTATTATCTTTGATCCACTCAGGGGAAGCGGAGACGTGAGCTGTTTGTTGCCAGTTTTTCCATCAACTTCAGTGATTTTACTGGTTCTTATTTTTATATCAATGTATTGATGATACTGTGAAAAAACGCGTTTTGTACCCGTCAAATTGGGAATGTGCCAATTTTTGGTCAATATTTTTAATTTGTCTTCTTTGATTAATTTAAATTCCCTTTGGAGCCATATAACTCCAATCTGCAAGAGATGTTTTGGTAATTTACACAGATGTATATATATATATATATATATATATATATATATACATGTACACCCC